CACACACACACACACACACACACACACACACACACACACACACACACACACACACACACACACACACACATATATATTACTGATTTAATGTTCATGAATTGCAAAGTCAATCTTGGGGACACGTGTCTATTCACTAGTGATATTTGAGAAGAAACTGATACATTTTTAAAAGATATGTATATTTTTTGTATTAGCCCTGTGACAGGCTGGCGACCTATCAAGACTCCATCTTTCGCACCACCCTGAATTTGATAAGGGGGAGAAAATGGATGGATGGTAATCTGTGTATTCCACATATGCCATAAAGACGATGATATTTAGATTGAAATATCCTGTTGGCCTGTAGCTGAAATCCAATAGTCAGATTTGATGACTATTTAGTTCTTATGACAATAATACATTAATAATTAGCTTTTCTGAAATCTGATACTGGTTGTTGTGTTCAAATAATTCATTGAACCAAGTAATTTGATAAATTGTGTGTTAAATACCTAATCATCACATCAGATTTAGATATTTGGTCGGCAATGCTGATACAAATTTTCAGCCAAGACCTGAGCAAGAGCAGGAGATTAAGAGTGCAGCAGATTGATGAGCAGTTAGGTACAGAGGGTGCACACAATCATCAGGGACAACACAACAAACATGATAAATAAGAAAGAAGTAGACAAACCATTTACCACAGAAATAAGGAACAAAACTTTAACATAAATCATTCCCAAAAACCAAAGGGAAAAATGAACTAACAAACATATTCAAACTTATATATTATTAGTTCTCAGAACATTTGATATTAATTCTACCGTGAAACAGCTTTAAAAGGGTGGAATTATCAAGAGAAAAATCCAACAATTTCTAGGCTTGTTTTCAGATACTAGCAACACCACTGCTTAAAACACAAGAAAACTAATGTGAGTAATGTGATCTAACAGGATGAACTTTACTGGAAGACTACAGATATAATGTAGTGTGTAGCAAAAGCTTTCACAGCCCGTTCACTATTACTAAGTAAGACTTGACTGCTGAAGTCATCATTGATATATGATATGACAACAATGACCTCAGTCTGACTTACCAAAGTAAAAATGTACAGAATTGTGGGTTTAGAGGTGAAAGTGCTTGTTGTTAAATATTTTAGGCCTTTGAGGAAGAGTAACAAAGATATCATAAAGAACCAATCAGAAAAAAGCTTATTTATGGGCTTCACTGTAGCCACACGATTGATCTTTGCTGCTTCATTCTGATTGGCTGACGGCCAAATATCACTGCCAGGAATGGACGTGAACTGCAGCAGGAAATTCAGATAAATTGCATTTAGGAAAAAAAATCAAGGGTGAGCCTTGATGAGGAGTGGTGAGAACTGAATGAAGCACAGAAGGAAAGACTTTATGCTCACACGGATTCAACATGTTTTACTAGTGATGTCAGCGTTAAGCTTTCTTGCTTCTGAATGGAGGACGGTATCCACCTTACCTGCATTGTTACTCACGCTGACCTATTTTAAATTTTAGAATTATTTGAGAAGATTTTTACGGATATGTGCAAACCTGAGTTTACTCATGTGGATACAAGCGTACCAAATTGATTCCGGGCCTTGTTAGTGTTAAGTGCTACGCAGAGATACACACAGTCCGTTCTGTGTTTCTGAGCTGGACTTTTGCCCTTCTTCATTTTTAAAGCTGCACAAACACATTTGTTTGTGTTAATAATGGATGAAGTGACGGGATGAAGTGTGTAACGGAAAGGTGACACTTGCAGAGATAAACCTGACAAGAATTGTCACTTTACAGTTCAAATCCACTCTATTCCACTTTTGGCCTTTTAGAGCATGCTCTTCCTGTGGTCTTCTTTTCCAGCTGTGGGGGGCAGTTGAATGATTTCTGACCAATACCAAACATGGAGTAAGAACCTAGAAGCAGCTGGTGAATGCAGTGGAGCTTTTAGCAGAGAGTAAGACAACTGAAGTAAATAGATTAGAAACACATTATCCAGCAGCCACCCTCTGATGTCTTTACTTTTTCAAGCCAACTGATACAATAATAAATATATTACTTAGTAATATACAGTTTCAAACTCTGGCCCCGTCTCTGTGTATTCTGTGTAAATGCAACATTTTCTGAACCTTTTTATCCCAATCAGCTCACATGATAACAATTATAATAATAACATCTCATACTATCCATTGGTAAATGAAATTATTTTTGCATCTATATATTGGAATGATAATGGGCTCAGCAAATACCTACTGCCATTCTACAGTATCTCTAAGTATGATTGATGTTGCCTATGGCTCTACCTTTTATAATCCTGCACTGTCCTGGGTATCAGGTTTCATGAGGCACTTTCCATTTGCTCTGCTCTGGATTTCTTCCAGCAGATCATTTCTTTTTTTTCTTCTTTTTAATTTGTTTTTTTTTTTAAAATTACTAGTGAAACTGACATAAACTTGACATCGTAGTCATTTATCCTGATTAAACAGATTTAGGTGGTCTATTATAGTTCCCAATCACCTTATTCTCCAACATAAGTGAGGTCAGGACCTGCCGAGGCTCTCATCTGAGTATCTCTTGTGCAGCAAAATTCATATGCAAGACCGTCATTTAACTATTTTATCCAAATGAATCCCCTTTAATAATATCTAATCAGGATTTTATCTGTTGTGCAATGACTAGCCTTAAGTATTTTCCCCAAGTTTAGGATAAAAGCATCAACAGTTTTTCTGCAATTTATATCAACATAAATTCTCATAAAAAAAAAAAAAAAGCAATCCCGCTAATGACTCTGACAGAAAGCAGATAGAGTGGCTCAGCTGAGATTAGATGTAGAGATTAGACTCTGTCTAATAAGGGCGGGGTACTAAGGCTGGTTGGATGGCTTGTCAGCTGATATAATTCACTGTTCAGAGGTTTGTACACTTTCATACAAACGTGTTCAAAATGTACAAAATTTGCTTTAACTGACTACCATGGTGATACCGATTACTCTGAACTGGACCTGTCACGGTCTGCGGAGGCAGACCGTGCGGAAATGTGTGTGGTGGACCCAGGAGCGAACACAAGCGAGGATGCAGGAGTGGAGTTAAACAAAAGCGAGCCTTTTATTCTGGCTGATGAAAGGAACAAAACAGAGTGAGGGCAGCATAAGAGTAATAGTTCAAACAGAAACCTAAACTGGACATAAACTAAGGAAAAGCTATGGCTGGAGATACGGAACACAGGGGGTGGTAACACAGACGACGCGACACAGACTACATGAAACACAGAGACTAAATACACAAGAGGGATGATCAGGGGAAGTGGCCACACATGGGAACACAGCTGACACAGATAAACATAACAAGACATGGCAGGAGTAAACAACACTGACGGGAGACTGTCAAAGTAAAACAGGAAGTACACAGGTGCAAACAGGAGGAGAGAGAGAGCACGGGCATAGTGGGCTGGGGAAACATGGAATGAAACAAGGAGGGGAGATGAGGGCTCACAGATACATAGAGGGGCACACAGGGGATAAAAGTCACAAGGGGAAGTCAAATAAGGAACACCACAACAGGACAACTTAGGAAACATGGCCTAAATAAGGAACGAAATACAAAAATACAAGAAACTAAGAATACTGGGCCCACATGGCCCAGGACCATGACAGGACCAAAAAAAAATTATCTACACATGGATCTATCAGGTGTAACAGTGACTTACCCTAAATAAGAGAGTAGAAGCAATAACTTTACTTTGTCTCATCCGTTCCAGCTTCCTCTTGGTGTTTTCGTGTCTTATACTCTCAGTCTTTGCCACCATTAAAGAGTTCACACAAAGCTCAGAGAGTGCCTTGTACATCTTGGTAAGTATCACTTTATTTAATATTTTTAACAGTATTCTGCATATAAATTAATGTCACAAGGTTAACTCCCCCATTCTGTTTTTTTCCACAGGAAATTGTGACGATTGTGGTGTTTGGAGTGGAGTACATTGTAAGGATATGGGCTGCTGGCTGCTGCTGTCGATACAGAGGATGGAGAGGGAGGCTAAAATTTGCCAGAAAACCTTTCTGTGTCATAGGTGCGAAAACACGTTTGCCTTGTGTTTTACTGGCTGTCATTTCTGTCACCTTGAAGAACATAACATGGACACATTACTTGTTACTTGTTTTGCTATTACTTCTGTTCTTAAATGCTGAAACTTTTGATACAATGGTACAAAAATATTTTTCCAACTGCAAATTGTTTGTTTGAACAGTGTACAGATTAAATGAACAATTATCTTCAGTGTCCATAGTAAAGTGTTGTTAATTTAGTCTGATTTGACCAAGGTCATGGTTTTCTACTCATATGTTGTACTTCTCTTCCCAGACATCATGGTGCTGATTGCCTCAGTATCTGTCCTGGCAGCTGGATCTCAGGGCAATGTGTTTGCCACCTCGGCTATCAGGAGTCTGAGATTCCTGCAGATCCTACGGATGCTGCGCATGGACCGCCGTGGAGGAACCTGGAAGCTGCTCGGCTCTGTAGTTTATGCACACAGCAAGGTGATCTTGATGTACTCCAGTTTTGTCGGTAGTTTCCTAAATTTTTTGATTGTTAAGATTGTGTGGCCGCCATTATCACTTATCTTTTAACCACAAAGCATGCAGACCAGGTGAAAGTAATATTTTTAGTATAGAGTAACTGTAATCCACATAAATGAGCTAAGAAAGAGCAAAGAGAAAAAGTCCAGCACATATAATAAATGGGAATTTGAAAAGTTATCATGGCTTACAAATATGTTATTTTAGAAACATTTTGTTGTCTTATCCATATGTCTTTGCACATAATCAAGAAAATGCAGCCATTTTACCCTATTTCAATATTCCCTGCTCAAAAATATATTAAAGGAACAGGGAGCAGGGCCTCACTGACCTCTTGGACAGTCTGGTGGTGGTGGACTGAAACATAATGTCCCAGAGGTGTTCTGTTGGATTTTTGGTCAGGCGAGCGTGAGGGCCAGTCAGTGGTATCAATTCCTTCTTTCTCCAGGAAGTGCCTGCATACTCTCGCCACATGAGGCTGGGCATTGTCGGAACCCAAGTATTTAATCCTGATACCTAATGGCAGTCAGGGTGCTGTTGCCTAGCCTGTATGCACGTCCATGGATATGGTCTCCAAAGACCATAAGTAACCCACCACCAAACAGGGCACGCTGAGGAGGAACCCAGAAATGACAATTTGGTCCAGTGTTTTCATCTTGATACCTATTTTACATAGCATGTTACAGGCAGCATAAAATTCTCCACGGCTTCTCCACACCCTTTCACATCATGTCTCCTTGAATCTCTTCGATGATCTTGAGACTTTGCTGGGAGACACGGCTAATCTTCTGGCAATGGCGTGTATTGATGTGCCATCCTGGAGGAGATGGCACATCAGTGACACTCTATTATCAAAAGTGTCTCCTCCGAGAAAGTCTATCGTGACAAGGAAGCATATTTCTCTCCGTTTAATTTAAATGAGCTTGGAAAATCTAATTATTTGCTTTTACTAATAAGCTGCAGAAACATCATTACAGGGTTTGTGGGTGTTTGTGTATGATTACATGAGAAGGAGAGATGGCAGGCTGCAGCTTTTGTGGAGACGAGGGAAATAAAGATGTTTATGAAATGCTTGGTTCGCCGCACAGGGCAAGAGATTCACATATGATGTCCAATATTGTTACAGAATAGTCATTTGTACCCATTGACAGAGGTTACATTGCCACTTTTGCAAGGCATTCAAGATGACACTTAATTACTTTAATTTCCCAGTGGTCACTGTATTGGTTTTCTCTGTAGGAGCTCATCACAGCGTGGTACATAGGCTTCCTGTGCCTCATCCTGGCCTCATTCCTGGTCTACTCTGTGGAAAAGGAGTCAAATAATGAGTTTGACACGTATGCTGATGCTCTTTGGTGGGGACTGGTAAGACTAACAAGGGCAACATGGATCTGCAGTATTTGCTTTCTGTTTTACAACATGCATTTTTGACAAATATTCAGCTTAGAAATGTTCATTTTACTTTATTTCCAGTTTTACAAAAAAAGGTATTAAAAAAGCTATTTAATGTTTGTTTTTTATTTTTTTTTGTACCAGATAACTCTTACCACCATTGGTTATGGTGATAAGGTTCCCAAAACCTGGAATGGACGCTTACTAGCAGCCACGTTCAGCTTGATCGGCGTTGCCTTCTTTGCCCTTCCTGCTGTAAGTATGTAGGCTTGTCTTTAGGGCGTTGAAGCCGCTGACAAGAGTTCACACAAAGTGCACATCATAAATGATCCTCATTTATATGCCTTTACTCTCTCTCCATTATGATGTTCTCTGTAAGTGCATATCTGCCTGATCTCACTGCTCTGCCCTAAGAGAATATACTCTGTGTTCTCTGGCAGGCTCTTCCATAGGTTATGGTTTCATTTAGTTTGATATCATAACTACAGTAGTGCATTCATGCTATGGATTCAACATTATGGATTCGAAATGTATCTAATCAAATGAGTAACCTGAAATGACAACAGGATAGCACATTTAGCACCCAACACCTAGCATTTTAGTGTCTATCAGCTAAATGTTTTTGTTTTAAAGCCCAGAAAACATCCTGTTTTATCCCACTTCAATGACTCTCATTAACCTTTTTATTCAAATCATGTAGCTCATCTCATCACTCAAGTAGGTCCATTGCCCACTAACTGACATAAAAAAGCAGCAACTAGGTGGTGAATGTAGTTGAGCTAGAGAGCCAGTTTTTTTACAGGTACAGCGACAGTGAAAATAAGATTTGTATTCATCAGATCACCAAAACACCATAGAAGCTGTGTGAGGAAATAACTGCAAATGTTTTTCTTTTTGGGACAAGCATCCAGTCTTTGATAGTCCAAAGAAATCTTAGTGCAACCGATGCTTCTAAAAGGAGCTGAAAAAACTTGGCTCATTATTCACGTTTTCTTTAGAAAGCCTGAGTTTGATGATGTAGTTTCAGTGGCTAAAGTACGTGTCAGTGTTTGTTGTTCCACCTGAGATTTAAAGATATCACACTCAGCAGTAAGCTCTGAGTAAGCAGCTCCCATTCGTTCAGTCAATCATACAGAAAACTGTACTTGATCAGCAATCACTTTTCCTGTCACTACTTTTGGCACAGCATTTAACATCAGCATTTCCTCTCAGGTTTCTATAACCCCAGATGTTTTGTTGGATTGCTTCGGAGAACTGTTAGGGGACAAGGAGGAGACAACTTGCTGTTGTTGCAATTCCTCCTCCTGGCCCACTGAGGTCAGTAAAGGTCACTGATTATTTTATGGGTTTCTGCTTTTGTACAGGGCATCTTGGGTTCTGGCTTTGCCCTCAAAGTCCAAGAGCAGCACAGACAGAAGCATTTCGAGAAGAGACGTAACCCCGCTGCAGGCCTCATACAGGTATACTGTGTGATAAGATCACTAGATTCAATTTTAAACACTGTTTAATTCTCCAAGCAAAAAAACTGAGAAGCCTTTTTAAAAATTTCCTCACCCAGGCTGCTTGGAGGTTTTATGCCACCAACCTTTCCCGTACAGATCTGGTGTCCACGTGGGATTTTTATGAGCAGACTGTAGCTATTCCGATGTACAGGTAACCGATCAAATAAAGTGGTTGAATCATGCTGCACATTATTTCAGCATTTTCAGGAAATACAACTGTTTACCCATGTCACATTCTGCCTTCTTTCTGAACCTTGAAAGCCAAGTTGAAAACTGAGCTCACAGAATAACCTCATCTTATTGTATTCTAAACATCTTTCTTGGATCAGAAGAATCACACACCGGTGTGGCTTTACACTTTCTGCTTTAATAAGGCTTTTCTTTTTAATGGAGAAGCAGATGAGAGTCTTAGCAGTGGCACTCTGAAATGCTGTTCAAAAGACAAATACTGCCCTTGACCAATTTGAAAAATTAAGCAGACATTTTGGTGTCCAGCTGTATGAATTAGCAAATAAGCTGCCTTGCTCGACTCTCACAACACAGATTTCTTTTGCTTTTAATCTAGAAGTAGAAAATCATTAGTTGTCTATTTTGAAATGAGTTCACTTACATTCCAGTTGTAATTTAAGCAGAAAAGGTTATGACCAACTGAACATAACTTAAGGCAATTAGCTTAAAAAGCCCAAAGGCGAGCTTTCACCTTTTGCAACTGAGCTGATGAGGCTGTCTTGATAGAACGACTTCTTTGAAGTTCTTCTTTGTCTTTTCCCAGACTTATCCCACCTCTGAATCAGCTGGACCTGCTGAGGAATCTGAAGGGCAAATCATTCAGGTATAACAATGACATTAGGAGTGACAAAGTTGTTGGTGTGATAGCATGATCTCATTATGATGACACCAACGGTGACTCAGTGATCTTGAAATAGAAGGGACCAGGGCATCAGAGGCTGAAATAACTATGTGCACTGCCCAAAATATACACTGAATGCCTTGATTGTCACAAAGGAATAAGATCTCTGAACCCTGTGAGTCTGGTCTGCTTGCCGCACACTTTGCGCTACACTTCCTGTGTTGCTGGGCCTTCCTTTTGTGTTACCAGCTTTTGTGTGCACTTAGCTCATTGTTGCACTCAGTTCATTTACTGTAGATTAACAAAAAAGAGGCAAACCAAACATTTATTTTAAAACACCTTGTTGATGCAAACATCAACCTGTGACCATAACGAATGAATTTTATGGAACATTTTTTTAAACTATTGTTTTCTTCTATTAGTTTATTTGTAATGGGCAAGCAGGGAAGAACACTGACAGTTTCACTGGCTCTATAGCCAGAGCAAATTTTCAACCCCACTTGATTGGAAAACCTGTGCGACACTTAGAAAATTCATTAATATACATTTACCAGACAATTTAGTAGTTATAATCTTGGCTGCTCAATTAATCGAATTTTAATCACGATTACGATCTGGGCTTTCAACGATCATTAAAAATGACTGAGCCGATTATTAGCACCTCCCTCGTGCTTTACTCTCGCGCTGCTCCGTGTGGCAAATCGAGCGCACCTCTCTGCATTTCGAACGCGTCACAACAATTAAGAGGACCCGAGGGAAGCTAAGCAGAAGTTATTTGTAGAGGAGAGTGACTGCCGTTGGTTGAAAAGAGAGGTAAAAAAAACTTCAGTGGTGTGGAAACATTATGTGTTCGCGGAGTCAGACGTGGATCAAGTAGACACAGTGTGTAAACTTTGCTACGGTGTCGTAGCTGCACCACAGAGCAACACTGCAAAGTTCACTAAACATAGATGTTTACATTTTTCATTTATTTCTTATATTGCAAACATTTGCACTGTTATCAGTATTTGCACACTATTTAATATTATTTTTTAAAGTCATTATTCAATACATTGTTATTGTTAACCCTTTAAATCCCTGTAGAACCAGAACCGCTTAAGCTAGCGCAATAATTTGTTTTGCATATGAAACCGGAGGAGTTGTACTTACATCTTATGCCATCAGCTTGTCCTCGGTCACGGTTTCCTTCCACATATAACTTTGCAAATATTGCATAAAAAGCGCTTGCAGGAACAAAAACATAATATTCCAGAAACACGCTTTGCCGATCTGATCAGCTGTTCGTAACACTTCCCACATTGAACAAGACCTCAATGTGAACTATCGCATGTCTGCCATTTCCTGTCCGAAACCGGAAGTGACGTCATTTTGCGGAAAATGTAGTTTTTTACTTGCAGGCCTTAAAAGCCTATACTGGTGTTTTTATAAGTCAAGTTTGACTCTATACTTTTCTGAATAGTTGCTGGGATGCTTGGAACTCGAATTGCACTGCTTAAAATAGTTTATTTTGATGCACATGCTGTTTTCTTTGCAAATTTGCATCATAGGATTGTTTTT